ATATGTCACAGCTTTACGCGGGACTGAAAAGGTGAATATGATTTAGAGATATGAAAATAGGACCCTATGAGTGATAATTGTAACATGTATATTGTTCGTGAAAAAATTTCAAACACAAACAACATTTACAAAATTATAATTCATTTGAAAAACCTCATATCAAATTAACAATATAACATTCTAATGTTTCTGGTTTTAAGATTGCATCACTAAGGTTACTTCCCTCATTTGTAAAATGATCATTTAGGGCTTAAACTGTATAATGTGGGTTGTTAAATCTGAAGCTGCATTGTTTTGCAATTTGTCAACTGTGCCTACACTAATGCCATTACAACTCGCACTACGTTGCGCTGAATTAAAGCCAGGTTGTAACTTTAGGCCATTTGTTAACGCTTGAGTTAGACATGAAATAATGCTGTGTAATAGTATCAAAACTTTAGGAACGGTGTCAATTTATAGGACGATGAGAACAAATAAACGAAACACCTTCCTAACAACGATATAAATACAATCCACCAATTTTCTTACAACGTACACTACATTGCGCTAAATTAAAGCCAGTTGCTTACTTTGAGTCATTTCATTAAGCTTGGGTGAGACGTGAAATAAAGCTGTTGGATAATATCAAAACTTTAGGAACGATGTCAATTTATAAGACGACGAGAACGAATAGACGAAACATCTTCCGAATAAGGCTTGCATAAGTTACGACTAACTTTGGGTTATTTGAATGAGACGTGAAATAAAGCTGTGTATTAGTATCTTATCTTTAGGAATGATGTCAATATGTAGGACGACGATAACGAAAAATCGGAACAACTTCCGAATAAAGCTTGCAGAAGTTCCGACTTTCGACAATAGTTGTCATAGTTGAAATATAAACGTTGCTTAGAATATTTATCGTAAACGCTGTTGGGGAATACTACATAATGTTCCGATAATGTGTGCGATATATTTACATATTCGAAATCAATGTTTGCGTACATAAATATCCAAGATGGCGAAAGAGCTCATTTGCATCATCAATATTTCATTAGTTCAAAAGAAATATGCACGAACGAATTCATAAATTAAACTGCTGCCTTCCTTAATTACTTTATCTGTATAAAAGTCCGAATAGCTAATAAAAAAAATCATAAAATCCCCAAAAATAACTTGTTTACAAAACTATCGATCTGTAGATCAACAAGGATGTGTAATAATATGATACATTGTGTAGAAACTCACCAATGTTCATCCATTTAAAAGATCGAAATGCAGGGCTTTCCCAAAGGGTTCGGAAAATAATGTAAATTAAGAAACAAAAAGTAAATTAAAAAAAATACAGAAATCCAAGGAAAATTAAAATCAGACAGTCCCTTATCAAATGGCAAAATCCAAAGCTCGAACACATAAAACAAATGGAAAACAACTGTCATAATCCTAACTTGGTACAGATTTTTCCTGATGTAGAATATGATGAATTTAACCTTAAACCTGGTTTGATAGTTAGCTAAACCTCTCACTTGTATAACAGTCACATAAAATTCCATTATGTTGAAAACAATGTGTGAACAAAACAGACAGACATAATAGATAAACAATGTCAAAAATAGGGATACAGCAGTCAACATTGTGTTATAATCTTTATCACTATAAAAACAAACAAATATGTCAACAAAGAAAAACAAAATGGCATATAGACAAAGCACATAAGCAAAAAAAAATGTATAGCACAACCTATTGGCGGGATGCATAAGTACCGAGCCACACCAAAAGGATACAAAGACAAATAAAAAACACTATAACACGTAATTAAGATGACAAACAACGTCAGTACCTAGAATCTATACTTCAAGACCACCATGTATTATTTGTGAGGTTGACATGGAATATTTATCAACAAGGTCTTGGTATCTTCCGATGAACTTTTTAAAAAAGGACGAGACGTTCTTTGGTATCACCATGGTTTATCAACTTTCTGCTCAGACACTGGAAACGTTTTATAAAATCAAATTAATGGTTTTCTTCGTCTGCATCAAATTAGTTAATAGAATAACTGAACTTTAAATTTTAATCAAATACAATTTACACATTTGTCCGTGTTATTTCAATGGCCCAGTTACAAAGAGGCAATGGGGCAATAAAAAATCATGAGTCAAAAAAGTCAACAACACCATGGCCAAACAAAACGAAAAACTACTGAATAAAAATCAAGTCTACAAAACACTTCATGATAAAATAAATGAACAAGATACCAATGTATCCCACCGATCAAAATATTTTATCTGTCCAAGAGCAAACACCAACTCATAATGTAAAAAAAGCCTAACAAATACCAAACTTATAAATTCAAAAAGGACGCAGTCCAATAAAACTGACAAAATCAAACTTATCAAACAACCCGAACGAGTGAAACACGATTGTTATATGCTGCATGACTTGGTACAGGTATTTCCAAAGAAAATTGTGGGTTGTTAAACCTGGGTTTAGATATAGCTAGCTAAATCTCCCATTTATTTCTGAGGAGCAGCTGCAAGCTTTTGAATATCGATAATTGGGAAATTGTTACTCCATACGCAAGTGAAGTTGGTTTATTGCTGCTAAAGTGAGGAACATTTATAATTATGAATGGTCTCGTTTGTCATAGATTCGGGTACTATGATGACCGTTGTTGTCAAATTTGAGGTAAATGTCTAGAAATGAGGCAGAGGAAGCTGTGTCTGTGGTTTATTTTATCTCCAGTTCAGGAGGATATATCTATAGAATCCAATCATAAAAGTTTGGATAATTTACGGAAAGAACATCATCTATATACCTGTATGTGGCATTAAATGATCTAGGTTCTTAATTCTTCTTGTCTTTGTGTCTGAAGGAACGCGGACTCATATCAAAATAGGAAAAGGTCGGCCAGGAGAGGTGCATAGGTTGTGTAGTACTTGAAATCAAGACGTATGAATCTGACAGATCCAAAAAGCGCCACCACCGTACAACTCATCATTGCCAGGATGTTGACGAAAATTTTATTTTCATTCAACATATTGATAAGTTCAAAGTATTAGCAAAGAGGACATACGTGTCCGACAGATCTGAAAAATGTTCATTATGATATAAATTTTCAATGACAAGCTGATGATTTAATTTACAATTTGTTCTGTATTTAAATAGTTTTGAGTCGAAAAAAGAGGGACGAAAGATACCAGAGGGACAGTCAAACTCATAGATCGAAAACAAACTGACAACGCCATGGCCAAAAATAAAGAGACAAACAGACAAATAATAGTACAGATGACACAACATAGAAAACTAAAGACTAAGCAACACGAACCCCACCAAAAACTGGGGGTGATCTCAGGTGCTCCGGAAGGGTAAGCAGATCTTGCTCCACATGTGGCACCCATCGTGTTGCTTATGTTATTACAAATCCGGTAAATAGTCTAATTCGGTAGGTCACATTCGTGAAAAGGGAAGGGTATTGTTGTTACGACGTAAGGAACATATCCGATATCATCTGTGAAATGGTTATTCCATAACGGTCAACCAACTCGTGATGGCGTCCGTAAAATTTACGAAGGGATGATTTCAACTTCACCATCTGGAACTCTTGGCTTAATAGCTTCCTTATTAGCAGCAATCCTCTATCAAGGAAATCATGATAGGAAACACAAGCACGGGAATATCGTATCAATTGGGAGATATATACTCTGTATGCAGGCGCTGCTGGAATGTTGCTACATAGAAATTGAAAGTTTACAATTGGGAAGCTGAAATCATCTCTTTTGTCGTAAAGTTTTGTTTTCAACCGACCTTCATTGTCAATTTCTAGATGTAAGTCAAGATATGAGGCAGACTTAACTGTATCTGTAGTATCCTTTATCTTTAGTTCGATGGGATAGATTCGTTCAACATAGTCACCAAATTTTGTATTATTTAGTGAGAGAACATCATCTATATAGCGGAACGTAGAGTTTAAAGGATATTGCTAACTTCTTATCTTTCTTCCTAAGAAGTTCCTGTATGACGTCAGCCTCATAATAATAAAGAAACAAGTCGGCAAGAAGAGGGGCACAATTGGTTCTTATTGGAATTCCGACAGTCTGTTGAAAAACACGTCCTGCAAACGTAACAAATATGTTGTCAATCAAGAAATCAAGCATCTTGATAATGTCAGTTTCAGAGAATTTTATGTTTGAATCAGAGTGATTCGAAGTGTTTCAGTGTCTTTTTATTGGAGTTTCCATCTTATATATATTTGAAATTAATACAATTTCTCAACCATACATAGTTTGTAGTTTATAGTTTGTTCTTATGCTGCTGTAATACTACTGTCCTAGTTTAGGTTAGGTTAGGTTGAGCGCTCATAAACATGTTTATCACCGCCACATTCTTAATATGCTTATCCAAAGTTAAGAGCATGTAGTTCAGTGGTTGTCAATTGAATTGTTTTATGTTTTTCATGTCGGAGCCTATTATAGCTGATTAAACGGTATGGGGTTTTTTCATTGTTGAAGGACGAACGGTTTATAATTGCTTATATTCAGTTTATTTTTAGTGGATAGCTGTCTCATTTGCAATTATACCACATCTACTTATTTTTATATATGCGAAAGAGTTTGTATCTTGAGATACATGAACAATGATATTTTAATTTTATTTGAGGTCAAGTTCAAAGGTCAATTATACATTTTTCATTTACTATAATGTGATATTGATACATGATAAAGCCATGGGGTCTTATGCATTAGATTGGAAGACATATGACCTTTAAAATGACAAACTAAAGTGACCTTGTGTAAATGAAAATAGCCATTTTTACATTAATTTCATGCTTCGTGTTGTAGGCCTCACTGTGACTTTGAGATGAAGAACAGCAATTAAAGAGCTGTTCCTTTGCTTTATGTGTTGTGTGTGTTTTTTTTTTCTCTCCTTTTTTGCTGTGTATGTACGGATTTCGTTTCATGGATAGATACCCCTATCCTTTGTTTTTCTATTAAAAGTACCTTATACCATCCTTTTTGAAACTACTGTTAAGTAACATATCTGGAACCGAAAGTGATATTTCATAAAATGGAAGCAGCAACTTATCCCTTATATTAGAATCAAAATATATAGAAACCATATATTTTCTTAATCAGGGTAAAGTAGGCTATTTCTTGCCTCCGGACGTGATTTTATCTGAAGAGGCTTCATAACATTTCCTATGTAAAGTCTAAATTTCCAAATTTTGGGAATAATTGTGAGATAAGTCATCTTTTTGAACCAGGCCTACTGTTCTTAATACAAATTTTATTGTCAGAAGTGAATTTCATTAGGATAGAAAGACCATCGGTTGTTCTCACGACAACTCAACTCTAATTATATTTCAGTGAATTTGTTTTTATAAATGATATTGTCTAGAGACAGGAACAAAAACCCTTTAAGATCCATCATCTCATTTCGTAAACAAACAAAAAGAGAAATTAGGTAAGAATACTTATACAGCCATAACCATTATTCGCAATAGTTTAAGCTCAAATAATCATTGATTCCATTACTATAGCTGACTGTGATGAATAATACAAAGTTGATAATATTTGTAGTAGGAACTGAACCATATGTACATTTACATTCACAACTCTTCTTCCTCTGGCGAAAATTAAGTGACTACAGCGGTTTTACTGTATTTGTCATTATCGGAAAGGCTTATATTAAAAACGATTGAAAGTCAGGGATGAAATAATACATGATGATTTTTAAAATCGAAAACATCAATAGGATAGCCGAAACCATTTAAAGGCCAACTTTACATGACGGTTTTTGAACTTGAGTTTAAATTATGATAAAGATTTTTTTTTCTATACTTTCCGCTGAAAAAATATTGAGATATGAAGGAAACCTTTTCACTATTTAGCAATTTGTATCAGAATATAAAGACATGAGATATGCTGTAATATCTTAATTAAGATCACTCTAGTAATTAAGTAATAGTACAGGGAATTCAGACAGTGAGTAATGACGACATTAGAACTAGAAATTGCTAATTCATTTTTTCTCCCTCATAACCTTGTTTGCGCAGTTGTGTAAATATCTACTTAAAAAGTCATAATGAGAACTGTCCCTACGTTATCGTATCAAGTATAATGCGTTAACAGCATTATTTACAAAAAGAATAGTCCTTAGTGTCATGTTGACAAAGTCTTTGTGTTTATATTATCAATGCTTGATACCAGATACATATAAGTTTGCCTCATATCCTGACTTACATCTAGATATTGAGGATCAGTTGAAAACAAAACTTTACGACAAAAGATATGATTCCAGCCTCCCATTTGCGAACTTTCCATTTCCATGTAGCAACATTCCAGCAGCGCCTGCATACGGAGTATATTTCTCTCAGTTGATACGTTTATTTTAGGGCTTGTATTTCCTATCATGATTTCCTTGATTGAGGGTTTTTGCTCACAGTGAAGCTATAAGACCAAGCCCCTTTTCCCCGAATGTGACCTACCGAATTAGACTTATTACGGGGTTTGTACTAACATATGCAACACAATGGTTGTCACATTTCGAGAAGAATCTGCTTATCTTTCCGGAGCACCGGAGATCTACCCAGTTTTTGGTGAGGTTCGTGTTGCTCAGTCTTTCGTTTTCTATGTTGTGTGTTTTGTGTAGTTGTTTGATAGTTGATATTTTTCTTTTTCTAGCCATTTTTCGCTTCTCCTTTGCATTGGGTCGTCCGTCAAAGTTTAATTCCAAAACAAAAACGCCGCGAAGCTAAGATTACAAAAAGTGCAGATAGAAACCTAGGTAAGAAACATTCAAGCAGCGCCTGTATATGGAGTATATGTCGTTTATCGGGAAAATGTCTCGTTGGAATAATTTTGCTTTATCTACCGCATATATTTTACTTCGAAAAAATTACCATACGCGAACATTTAACTATTCATTAGCTAGTGTATTTGTCTTTTCATTGCTTTCGGTGCTTTCGGATTTTTACATTGTGTTTTCGGTTTCTGTTTGACCTATGAATTTTATTGTTCTTTTTGGTATCATTTTTCTTTTGTGACATCGGGATATTTAATGTAGAATTCTTAAACTTTGATATGCATAGTTAAAAAAAAATAACATTCTTACTAATCAAAAAGAAACTCCTATTTTTTTTGTTGTCAATTGAATTGTTTTATGTTTTTCATGTCGGAGCCTATTATAGCTGATTAAACGGTATGGGGTTTTTTCATTGTTGAAGGACGAACGGTTTATAATTGCTTATATTCAGTTTATTTTTAGTGGATAGCTGTCTCATTTGCAATTATACCACATCTACTTATTTTTATATATGCGAAAGAGTTTGTATCTTGAGATACATGAACAATGATATTTTAATTTTATTTGAGGTCAAGTTCAAAGGTCAATTATACATTTTTCATTTACTATAATGTGATATTGATACATGATAAAGCCATGGGGTCTTATGCATTAGATTGGAAGACATATGACCTTTAAAATGACAAACTAAAGTGACCTTGTGTAAATGAAAATAGCCATTTTTACATTAATTTCATGCTCCGTGTTGTAGGCCTCACTGTGACTTTGAGATGAAGAACAGCAATTAAAGAGCTGTTCCTTTGCTTTATGTGTTGTGTGTGTTTTTTTTTCTCTCCTTTTTTGCTGTGTATGTACGGATTTCGTTTCATGGATAGATACCCCTATCCTTTGTTTTTCTATTAAAAGTACCTTATACCATCCTTTTTGAAACTACTGTTAAGTAACATATCTGGAACCGAAAGTGATATTTCATAAAATGGAAGCAGCAACTTATCCCTTATATTAGAATCAAAATATATAGAAACCATATATTTTCTTAATCAGGGTAAAGTAGGCTATTTCTTGCCTCCGGACGTGATTTTATCTGAAGAGGCTTCATAACATTTCTTATGTAAAGTCTAAATTTCCAAATTTTGGGAATAATTGTGAGATAAGTCATCTTTTTGAACCAGGCCTACTGTTCTTAATACAAATTTTATTGTCAGAAGTGAATTTCATTAGGATAGAAAGACCATCGGTTGTTCTCACGACAACTCAACTCTAATTATATTTCAGTGAATTTGTTTTTATAAATGATATTGTCTAGAGACAGGAACAAAAACCCTTTAAGATCCATCATCTCATTTCGTAAACAAACAAAAAGAGAAATTAGGTAAGAATACTTATACAGCCATAACCATTATTCGCAATAGTCTAAGCTCAAATAATCATTGATTCCATTACTATAGCTGACTGTGATGAATAATACAAAGTTGATAATATTTGTAGTAGGAACTGAACCATATGTACATTTACATTCGCAACTCTTCTTCCTCTGGCGAAAATTAAGTGACTACAGCGGTTTTACTGTATTTGTCATTATCGGAAAGGCTTATATTAAAAACGATTGAAAGTCAGGGATGAAATAATACATGATGATTTTTAAAATCGAAAACATCAATAGGATAGCCGAAACCATTTAAAGGCCAACTTTACATGACGGTTTTTGAACTTGAGTTTAAATTATGATAAAGATTTTTTTTTCTATATTTTCCGCTGAAAAAATATTGAGATATGAAGGAAACCTTTTCACTATTTAGCAATTTGTATCAGAATATAAAGACATGAGATATGCTGTAATATCTTAATTAAGATCACTCTAGTAATTAAGTAATAGTACAGGGAATTCAGACAGTGAGTAATGACGACATTAGAACTAGAAATTGCTAATTCATTTTTTCTCCCTCATAACCTTGTTTGCGCAGTTGTGTAAATATCTACTTAAAAAGTCATAATGAGAACTGTCCCTACGTTATCGTATCAAGTATAATGCGTTAACAGCATTATTTACAAAAAGAATAGTCCTTAGTGTCATGTTGACAAAGTCTTTGTGTTTATATTATCAATGCTTGATACCAGATACATATAAGTTTGCCTCATATCCTGACTTACATCTAGATATTGAGGATCAGTTGAAAACAAAACTTTACGACAAAAGATATGATTCCAGCCTCCCATTTGCGAACTTTCCATTTCCATGTAGCAACATTCCAGCAGCGCCTGCATACGGAGTATATTTCTCTCAGTTGATACGTTTATTTTAGGGCTTGTATTTTCTATCATGATTTCCTTGATTGAGGGTTTTTGCTCACAGTGAAGCTATAAGACCAAGCCCCTTTTCCCCGAATGTGACCTACCGAATTAGACTTATTACGGGGTTTGTACTAACATATGCAACACAATGGTTGTCACATTTCGAGAAGAATCTGCTTATCTTTCCGGAGCACCGGAGATCTACCCAGTTTTTGGTGAGGTTCGTGTTGCTCAGTCTTTCGTTTTCTATGTTGTGTGTTTTGTGTAGTTGTTTGATAGTTGATATTTTTCTTTTTCTAGCCATTTTTCGCTTCTCCTTTGCATTGGGTCGTCCGTCAAAGTTTAATTCCAAAACAAAAACGCCGCGAAGCTAAGATTACAAAAAGTGCAGATAGAAACCTAGGTAAGAAACATTCAAGCAGCGCCTGTATATGGAGTATATGTCGTTTATCGGGAAAATGTCTCGTTGGAATAATTTTGCTTTATCTACCGTTTATATTTTACTTCGAAAAATTACCGTACGCGAACATTTAACTATTCATTAGCTAGTGTATTTGTCTTTTCATTGCTTTCGGTGCTTTTGGATTTTTACATTGTGTTTTCGGTTTCTGTTTGACCTATGAATTTTATTGTTCTTTTGGTATCATTTTTCTTTTGTGACACCGGGATATTTAATGTAGAATTCTTAAACTTTGATATGCATAGTTAAAAAAAAATAACATTCTTACTAATCAAAAAGAAACTCCTATTTTTTTGGGTCTAATTTCCTAAATGTTTGTCTTGATCTTATACTATTAGACCCATGTATTGTCTGAAATTTCTATTTTCTATATTTCTATCGAATTCAGCTATATCATTTTCAATGGAAATAGATAATTCACGATGTTGATGCACGGTTTCATTCAACAATACAAAAATGCTAATGGTATGACTTTCAAATGCATAACACGTGTTTTGAAACAATTGTCAGTCGGCAAGCTCAAACCAAAGGCTTTCAACGTTACAAATACTAACGTTTTAGAGCAAGACCAAATATTTGATATTCATAAAGTTGTTATCATTAGGCACTTATATATATTTGTTCTTCGACAGTTTAATGCAGAAAAGAATTCTTTTTCCAGACATTGACCAAAAAATTAGTTAAGAAATGTTAAATGATTGCTTTAACACTGATACGAAAGTTATTCCCATTTTCCGTTCATAATTGAGCCCCTACATGTGAGCATTGGTGTGTAATTGACATGTACAAAACTTCGCGTTCAAAGTGTATTTAGGGTGCTTTTCAAGTTCCAGTATGAATATAATTAAAGTGTCGTTCGCAAATGTAAAAAATAGTGTACATGGTCATTGAATGCATGTCTATGTTAGTCAAAATGTTTCATGTTCAAAAATCAATATGGATTCAATATTGAATACTAGCATAGTAAATTTGAAAATAGTTTCAAATCATGTAAATGAAAAGGCCCAAGGTGTATTTAGTTAATCAAACCATTACGAATTGTTAACAAAAGGAAGTGAAAAGAACGTCATGATAATCAAAGTCACTGTCTGGTGACAGAACGTCCTGCATTTTCATGACATTTATCATAAACAAAACAGAACAATTCATTACCAAAATAAAACAGGACTGTTTTATTTTTAACACATATTTTACTTTATCAGGTTACTACAGACATTCCAAAAATGTGATTTTCTTTGAAGTTCAACAACGAATTTCGATTAGTGAGCTTTTAATATCAAATTCAAAATTCAAATATTGAAACTCGAATTTCAATTTGAGGTCTTAAATGTACTATACTAGTTATAACGTTTTATTCATTTAGTGTGCAAACATGTTGCATAATATTTCAATTACATAATTGCATTCATAATTCGGTGAGTGGCTTATTTCATAAGATTAAAATCAAATAAATAAGTGCTGACGAGTTCAAAAATCTAAAAATCCTCCAAAAAAAAACCAGAAACAAATTAAAGCAGTTCTATATAATGCGAAGAATATGCAAGTTTGCATTACATAACTACCTTACATAACTTTTTATGGACTATGAACTATACGGGTTTAAAAACATGTCAAGGTGGCTGGTCACGTTGTATTGATACATATATAAAAGAGCACCATCTGCAGATGGATTTTAAAGATAAGGATCCCTGCCTTGCATTCTGGTGCCAGATCAACGTTGAGCTAGCATTCTGGTAAGTCTTAATGCGTGGACTAAGAAAAAGTTTACATTCAAACATAGAAATAATTAACTGAATATTACGAAATGTTTTCTGAAAAGAGATAAAGGTTAAAACATCAACGATTTAAAAAATCTTAATTACCATTTAAATTTCCAATCTCCAATATCTGAAGAAAAATATTGTGTTCTGTCCCTGTTTAAACCGTTTTTCAGTAACATCGATGCCGCAAAAAAAAACGATGGAGAATACTAAACAATTGTTTTTGGAGGGGATTCCAATATTTCTTGTTTTTGCATAATTTTTTATCGGTCTAATATCAAGTTATTGTATCGGAAAAGTAAAATAAATCTATCGATTCATTTTTAGATATGAGATGGGCGTTAAGCAATGTTGTTGTCAACCTGGTTTCTTGCTTTATTCTAAAGTTCTTCATGTATTTTTTGTTTTTTTCTTTTTTGTTCTCCTTTTGCTGGCAAATTAACGAACTATTTTACGTATTAATATTAGCATAGACATATCTATTTCCACTTTATTTTATGAATGTTATTCTCTTGCTACATTCTAAGAAGTGTAAAAATCAATTTATTTTTTTTTTAAGTTAGAAGAAGTTAACCCTTTTCATTTGACAAAGCAAAAATAAAGACCCGATTTTGCCTAGTCTTTATTATTAAATTGGCAAATTAGACAAAAATTCCATTCATAAAAACTGGTTTTACATTAAAAGTAGAATGCATTCTTACAATGCAGCAATGCTACACATGGAAAAAAGTTACTCAGTAATTAATATGGATGGCCTTCATAATTGCAAACATCTAGATAAATATATGATAGCGAGTTCAGAATGAATCCAAGGAAATGTGGAATATACGGCAATAAGACAGTCTCCAAACTACACAGAAAAATGCTAGATTAAAAGTTTACACGCAATACGAGCGTTTCGCTAACAAACGAAAAAAAAACCATTATCAGTGACGCTCCAATCAAAAAGTTAGAAAGGCCAAATAAAGTACAAATGTGAAAAACGACACAAAATTTCCAAAGTTTTTGCCAAACACAGCTACGGTCATCTACTCCAGGGATACAAAATCCGTAGTTTAAATAAAAACTGTAAGTTTTGTAAACATTTCATTTATAATTATGATAATGCAACTCATAAACTAATGTATTTACAGGTCCAAGTGAACACCAAACACAATTACCAAACGGTATATTACGTACTATGCTATTGTGATTTGGTTTTCAACATTTTGATTTCAAATTTTCGTCCACTTACGGAAACTTTATAGAGATGTCTTTATGCTCATTAAACAATTTTACCTTTGCGATTGTCTTCTTTGTCTTTCCCAACACTTATGTTCTTGTTTGCCATTATCTTAATATGATTTTATTTTTTTTGTATTTAAATATTTAATCGTTTCTTTAAATTCTAATTTCAACTTGTTTATGCTGGAGACTTTTTATGGCTGACCATATTTTGATATTGCCGTAACCCTTATTTACAATATATACTAAAGGATCTCCGCTACCATTTTTTAAAATAACAAGCTTTTTAAAAGACTGTTTTAAATTTATAGTTTATAAATAAAGAAAATAACAAAGCAGAAAAAAATTAAGGGTCCGTGTGCTTATTTTCGAGATATAAGCCATAGAAAATTTGGCGGGAAATAATTCTCTTAAGATATTTCATACATTTAACATTGACACCCTTTTTCTTTCGAAAAACGATTAAAAAATAACAAGGATTTTATAAGATTTTCAAAGATGGCATTTCAAATTATATGTAATCAAATAATGGATACAAAAGTAGGGGTTAGCGGGCAAAATATTTAATGGCACAGCATGGATAAAACAAGAGAATTCCGAATATCTGGCTAATTTTCAAAAATAAGAGGAACGAATTTTCAATAACCTATACAATTTTAGATATATTTGATTTTTTTTTTATAGATTTAAAAAAAGCCTAGTTATGAAGTTCTATACAATGGAATCGAAAGTTGTCACTGCAAAGGAAAGATTGGGTTCTTCTCTCAAAAGATATGGAGCAATACAGATACTTCTTGGCCTAGGTTGTTTGATCATGACATTCGTTTCAATAGGAATCGACAAGAAAGTTTGTGACAACTTGGGGAAGAAAGGTATGATAAGACATATCTTCTTTTCTTTCACTTGAATATGATAATAATTGTTATATCATACCTTAGTTGATCGCTGTATCATGTTAAACGAATGAACAAAGATATGAATGAAACAAAAATAAGAATATTATTTTCGTAAAAGCGCTTCGGACACACAAAAATTTAGAAAATTGTTATTTTCGTTATTTTTTTTTTCTTTAGTATTAGTATCTATCTTCATGCAATCAACATGGACACGGAACACTTGAAATGTTGTTAGCATGTGCCATTGATGTCACTCGACGTTGTAAATGTTAATATGAAAACATGAAGATAAGTTATATCTCACCGATAAGTATATCTCAATTATACAAATTGATCCATTATATTTTTTATAGAGCATGTCATAACAAATGCAACTATACCTACCTTCTCGTTTGATAAGAAAACCATTATGCTCGGACTTGATGGAGGATCCTTGGTATCTGCTGTCTGGGTAGGTTACAATGATGTTGATAAGTATTATAGCAAACGCCAAACTTTGTAATAATAGAAATATAACAACGGAACTATTATGGAGAACACAAAGACAGTTAAAAAAAGATAACGGTGTCCATACACAAGTTATGTTCATAGCAACAAAAAACAACAACAAAAATACAATTGTAAAAATTATCATATTTATCATTATTATCATTATTATTATTATTATTTTATCATTATTATCATTATTATTATTATTATTATTGTTATTATTATTATCATTACTATTGTTATTATTATCAGTAGTAGTAATATTATTATTATAATTATTATTATTATTATTATTAATATATTGATTTATTTATATATTTATTTATTTATTTATTAATCAATCAACTTATGTATTTATGACTAAAACAACTAATATAATAGAATTGCAGAAGACTAATGTCTACCTTTTTAAACACAATGGTATTTTTTCTATAAGGACGTGGAATGATTAAGACAATATGAAATTCATGGTACGGACTCCGGCATATCATATTTGCTTTGTCTTTGTATTGAAAGAAAATTCCAGATTTGCGCGGCGTCTACCAATGAAGTATTGAAACCATATTTTTTATATAAATCTGCTAACCAACATTGGGAACCAAGGTGACGAAAAAGAGCGTTTCCGGTAAAAAATAATGGCTTAAATAAAGGGCATATTTATATAAAGTATGAGAAAGGTTGTCAATTTTAAATCGTAATCCTTGGTAAACAAACCTTTATTCAAGAAATGTATGAATGTGTTATCTCTATTTATTATAGATTGTTGTCACAGGAGTTATCCCAGCTTATATGGCAAGAAATGCAGACTACAGCTTGATTAAAACTGTAGGTTATTGTAATTTATATTTTGCTACTAGAAAATAAAAACAAAACCTTATTAGATTACAAGATGTGATGTAATTGCTAATGCAATAACAGCACTCCACTAGAGACCAATTGGCGTAGAACAACCGTTAACAATAAGCAATTCCCATACCTAAAAGCAAGCATTTCAAGGTCTTGAAATGACAAATGTAAAACTATTCAAACGAGAAAATTAACGGCCTGATTTATGTACAACACAATAATTGAAAAACAAATATGGTAAACAGCACCAAAAGACAACAGGATCCTGACTTAGTACATAAAATGTCTACATATTTTAAATATATAAGTTGGTAAATCAACTGTTGAGTTATTCTCTTGGTTTAAATAATTTTAATTGGAATTTTCGTCACAAAAATATGAAGGAAGCTGGTACAAATATGACATTTTTTTACGGTTTGCCTCTTTGGAATTGAAAGTTGTAAACAAATCAGCCGACACGAATATCAAAAGATACAATTGATTGTTCCTTTCTTTTTTCATAGAAAGTGGTTTTCATGGTTTTTAGCATTATGGCAGCATCATTGTTCGTACCCATCATCGTTGGTGCAGCAATTACTAACTTTGTACTGGTAAGTCCAAACATATTTTCAACATTCTACACTCATGGCATTTTAATATACTATTTGTTTTACAAGTTATTAATTTATAATATTCGAACTTTTTTCATGCACTATCATCATTTTCAACTACAATTTTTAACAGATATTTTTCTCGGGCAACTTTCACTGTAATCATAAACGAAAGATGGTCTCGGACTCCAATTTAGATCATTTAACTGGTCAATATATCATCCAAATATACATTTTCTTGTATACCTAAGCTTTTCAACGTTCCAAACAGAATTATATAAAAAATTCTAATGCAATATTCATGAACATAATTTTTTCATTGGATGACATATTGAATTGATGGAATTCTCAAATTTTTTATTTATACAATATGATCAAAAATTAAACATAACCTATATCAAAAACGCCGTTCAAATGATATTTTCGTCAAATCTGAAAAGTACCAGTTACGAAATAACCTTCGGTTTGAAAGAATTCCTTTGTTTGACGCTATGTGTTTCCTTGATGTTTATATGTCAAAATCTTTAATAAAGTTTCCTGGATTTTATCTTATTTTAAATTGATACATTTTTACAAGATCCAATATAAGATTTACTTTTGTAATGCATCATTATAGTAATTACAACACTGATATTCCTTAATTATGCATCGAAGATAGCAAAAAACGGTAGAACTTTTTAAGTTTTTAAGGAACATCATTTTGACGTTTCGAATAACCTATAAATGCATTAACATTAAGCACACTGTTTCTTTGTAGTTGCAAACCATTTGTATTTCTATCGTTTGTTTCCATTTGTGTTGGAATATTTGTCTTCATTTATTTTGTTTTTCTTACAGCGTGATAGCCACAGGGAATTGCTTGTCATAACTGGTCTTATATCCCTTTTAGAATTCCTTGTGTCCTTTGCTGCCTCAGTCTACTGCTGTGCATCGCCATGGGCTCCGTGCAAACTAGCGGTATGTTTGTTTTATTTTATAATATTCATTCATTGTTCGATATAACCGAGTATACAATTTCATTATAAAAAAAGAAAATAAAAGCTTATTTTTCATTATGACCTCCCGTGAGATTGTTACATTTTCCATATATGCATTATATTGCTTCTATCATATATAAACTCATCAAAAATACAAGGATTAAAATGTTGTACGCCAGACGCGCGTTTTGTCTACAAAAGACTCATCAGTGACGCTCGAATAAAAAAAATATCAAAAGCCCATATAAAGTACGTAGCTGAAGAGTATTGAGGACCCCAAATTCCAAATTTGTTTGCCAAATACATCTAATGTAACATATTCCTAGGGTGGAAAATCATTAGTATTTCAGAAATCCAAAGTTTTGTAAACAGTTAATTATAATTATGACAAAATTATTGATAATTCATGTCAATATATTATACTATACAATTTAATCAAGCTTCCTCGCCTCTCTTTATGTGCTAAAATTAAGTATATATTGTGACAACTTGATCATATCGAAATTTTATTCTAACTATGTGTTTTTTTAGTGATATCATATATTCAGTTGATAAGAATTAAAAACTACAGCTTATTTGCATGAATTGCAAACTTAGAAATGCAAAACCCTATTAGAGAAATTTGACGGGGTGTCAACATGAAAATTTAACCGTTAGAAAATACAAAAAGTGACTATCTATATGTCCACTACTTTGAAAAATAATTTGAGGTCCCTTTTGGTCATACAGCTCTTCAAGTGTTATGGCAGTCATACGTCCTTGATTTTAAAATGTTTGGCTTTGAGCTTACCGGATGAAGGAAAATCAAGGAAAGCGCTTAATACTCGTCAAATTAATAAAGATAAAGATTTATCAATGTTAAAGACAATACAACGGTTACTGTTTATCTTTAATTTTTTTATTTGAAGAAAGCAATGTATTTCGTCGTTTAATGTTTGTTAATATAGACGTAGAAACTATATATCAATTTGAAAAAAATGAACGAATGACCATTTTCGATCTTTAAATTTTTCAGAAGAAAGACAAACAAGTTAGAAGCGAGCAATTCGTTGACAACGAGAAGCAAATGACAAAGCTAGAACTTCCAGAATATCAACCATAATCAATCTATTCCCAATGGACTATACAATGATCACAAAAACCACCATGTCCTTTTATTAACTAAAGCACGGCTTTTGTATTGCTTAGTGGAGTTTATGTATATTCTGTCTGATAGTATTTTTGAAAATGAAAGGGTTTAATGTCAGCTTTTTGTGTAAATTATTTTGGTAATCTAAATCAAAATTTAAAAAAAATACGTGTGTATCATGTATCATTAATTGAAAAAGTTTTAAAAGTTTTTAAATTTAAATAGGAAATGGCATTTTAAAATTAGATAATTACGTTTAGTAATTATGAAACTGTAATCTTCCTGCAAATTTTTGTATGTTTTTACTTAAGATAGAATTATATTTTGTTGTTAGCTTTTCTTATATATGTAACATTGCTCACAGTGTATTGAAAATATTTAATCAACACCTGTGTATGGTGAGATCATATTTGAAGACAATTATTTGGTCCGTCAACACTTTATTTTATGAGGTCATCCTAGTTTTGACCCCAAACTAAAACACGGTAATATAATCAACTAGGAGATATATTCCATATGCAAGGGTTGGTGGAATGTTGCTTCATAGAAATGAAAAGTTAACAATAGGGAAGCAGAAATCCTTTCTTTTGTCGTAAAACGTTGTTCCCATCTGACATGCATTGTCTATATTTAGATGTATATTAAGACATGAGGAAGACTCAACTTTATCTGTTGTATCTCTTATTTCAAATAAGATGGGATAACATCTGGAAAACATGTTTTTGAACTTTTTGAATCGCACTTTTTGTTTTAAATTATATTTTGGTCGTTTATAAGTTTGTGCATCTATTATTATTAAATAATTAATGTAAATGGGTATTTAGAAATAAGGCGATATGGTAGGATTTTAGTTGATCAAGTATCATTCAGGAGCTGCTTATTAGATGTTGATCATGATTGATTTAAAAAGAATCCGTTGACCGTTGATCAATTATTTCTGCGGCATGATAAATAAAACTCTGTGATTTCGGAAGGAACGAACAATAGGCGTTTCATATATTCCCTGTTTGCTTAAAACTGATATATTATCGGATTATCTAAACCGTACACTATATATATATATATATATATATATATATATATATATATATATATATATAGAAGTCTATAAAAAGGACCAACCAGCAAATTTACTATGTACCGGATCGTCTAGAATAGACGATACTGTGCAGATAAGGAAAAAAAATATATAAGTCTAGAGATTTGCACAACGATACTAATATAAGATGGTATTATACGAAGATGTTGTTAATAAATCGTGTTGACAAATATTTCGGCTTAACAAATAGCCTTCTTCGGTGTCAATTATTTTAACAATGTTAAAATAATTGACACCGAAGAAGGCTATTTGTTAAGCCGAAATATTTGTCAACACGATTTATTAACAACATCTTCGTATAATACCATCTTATATTAGTATCGTTGTGCAAATCTCTAGACTTATATATATATATATATATATATATTTTAATATGAGTATATAAAAAAACATAATAGCAAATGTCAGTTAATTAGAATTTAGCATAATTAAAAACATTTCTAAACTAGTTTGTCATCAGTTACAGGGAAAAACAAATGAGTGTTCTATTGAAATATCATATTGAATGCGTTATCTTATTCCTTTTGACTTTTGAATAGCAAATAGAGTAGAATATACACTAAATAATCGCCGAAAATGTTACATGCCTACTGTTAGGTATGCATAAACTATTAAAGAATGTAGACTTAATTACAACCATAATCAATTGAATTTTCACAATTATGTAATACATGTGTTTGCTAGAGAGGAAAATAACGGTGCTTCTTTAAACTTCTCATGTAATTTTGATTTATTTTTTGTATATGCATATTACAATAACATTAGGTGTGCTTGCTTGTAATAATAAACTTTCATTCAAAATTAGTTGAGTATTTTGTTAGTTTCAATAAACAACATTCATGCCTTATTGGAAAAAGTTTAACGCATTGGGATACATATATAGATATAAGAAGATCTGGTATGAGTGCCAATGAGACAACTCTCCATCCAAGTCAAAATTTATAAAAGTAAACCATTATAGGTCACAGTACGGTCTTCAACACGGAACCTTGGCTCACACCGAACAGTAAGCTATAAAGGGCCCCAAAAATTACTATTGTAAAACCATTCAAATATGAAAACCAACGGTCTAATCTATATAAAAAACGAGAAACGAGAAACACTTATGAACCACATCAACAAACGACAACTACTGAACATCAGATTCCTGACTTAGGACAAGTGCAAACAAATGCAGCGGGTTTAAAGGTTTAAATGGTACCAAACCTTCACCCTTTCTCTGAAACAATAGTGTAACATCACAACATAGAAAGACACACTATAAAATATCAACTGAAATAGCTTAACTCAATCAAAGGACATATTAACACCATTGAACATACACTGAACAAATAAATTTGACCTATGATACAATGTAAATACAAAACAAATAAACTAAGGGAAGAATAATAAAAGTAACATGTTATATCGGTATGAAATGTTAAACAATTAAAGAAAAACAATAAGCTCGAACAAAAATATCAGCCATTTGCAATAACTTTAAACACGGGTAAATGAAAATAATTGTGTTGTTAGGTATACGTGTACAGTTCCAATAGAGAAAGGAAATATTTTTACAAAATAAATAATTTTGATGTTCATAGTACGAAGTGAAAATTTATAGTAATACCAAACACTTATCAAAGCTGGTATATAGACCAGATATAACCCTGAATAACATTAAATAACAAAAAAGCAATACAATTATTATCAACAGGTTAAATAAACAAGAAAGTACGATTTGAGAGTACTCGCAGTTACTGACAGCTAGTTAAAAGCCAAAACAATTAATAATAAAAAATCATGCATCAGAGACTAAAATCAACTAAAACACACCCCAGGGATTTAGTATTTTAACGTCATGGACAGTCAAAGAAGACATGACTAGTGCAATGCCAAAAATAAATGTATCGACAGACAGTAGGATAGTTAGTTTAACCTCTTTATATATCAAAACGAACGTGGGTGTGTCTTTATACATCCCGTTTGGAAAGAATACAAATTTAGTTATGTTTTAATTTGCTGATGACAAAATCGATATTAGTGCCAATGTAAACTATATCCAAAGATCTAATTACAACATTGGTAAGGTAACCTTTACTAATAAGTTTGTTTAAAGGTTCGATGAGTTAACACGGATCACATAGTGATTTCCGCGCTTTAAGTACAATATTACCGTAAAATTTAGGATGTGAAATACCGTTTTTAAGCAGTTTTCTACAAGTACAGCCAAATTTACTAATCTATGAAAGAACTTAGCAAAAGTTTTACATAATTTATGGTAACGAAATCCCTGATTTAATAATTTACCAAAGATGCATTGATTACGTTCGTTAAAATCTATGACATCACTACACACACGGGCATAACGAACGAGTTGGAATATATAAACACCGTACGATGGAGCCAAAGGAACATCGCCGTCTTAAACAGGAAAATTAACAATAGGGAATGAAAAATCGTCTCTTTTGTCGTAAATTTTCGTATGGAGTTTTCCTTTAGAGATTGAAATGTCCAAATCCAGAAAAGGACAACTACTGCTGTTTATGTTAGAATTCGTTAAAGTAAGTTCTATTGGGTAAATTTCGGTAGTATATTTAGAGAACTCTGGATTATTTAACGAAAAAATATCATCTAGATAACGGAAGGTATTGTTGAATGTATCAACCAAATGTAACAATGACGTGTCTTTACTGAGTTTGGTCATAAACTGAGATTCATAGCAATACAGGAATAAATCTGCTATTAAAGGGGCGCAGTTAGTGCCTATAGGAATACCTACTACTTGTCGATAAACTTTATCGCCGAAACTTACATATATGTTGTCCAGGAGAAAATTTAAAGCTTCAATCATATCTTCACATTTCCAGTAAGTGTATCTAGCAGACTTTCCTTTTTCGTTACAGAAAAAAAGGCTTTAAACGAGTTACAGCAAATAAATTTGTAATGAGATTTTTCAAAAGACCATTTAATTAAATATGAAAACTTTTTCTTGATAAGATTGTGTGGAAGTGTAGTATAGAGAGTAGAAAAATCATAACTGTCAACAGAATTAAAAGGACCATCAAAAGCATGTTTTTTATCTAAAACCTCTAAAGAATTTTTAACACTCCAAAAATAATTAATACCATTATTTTCATAAGCTTTATTACAAAAGTTAATAACAAGTTCTTTGATAAAAGTAAGGGAGGTAGTTAGAAGCACTGATAGATTGGTAGTAGAACACTTACTAGATGCGGAGATGAAACGGAATTTAAATGGTTTTTTTGTGCAATTTAGGTAACCAGTATATAGTAGGGACTTTCAAATGTTCGGAAGAAGCTTTAAGCTGGGTAGTGGCAGTGATATGCTTGTTTACAATTTGACTCTCTGTGGAGCGTACGGAACTGAATGTAGATGAATTTGTAATTTCGTTTTGGAGAACTTCCGTGTAGTATATGCGTCACACCACCACTACATTATTTGCTGCTTTGTCTGCCGGTACGAACACAAACCGCTTTGCGAGTACTTGGAGTTTATTCTTTATTCTGGAAATGGGAATATCATGGAACCTATTACTAATTTCAGAATTGTTTTCAAAATGAGATATACGAATATTAACTGTATTCATAATTTTATTCAAATAACTGGCTAGAGATTTTTTATCAGATTTTTCACGTTTACACCAATTTTTACAGTAGACAGACAGAGCGTCTTTAATGATCTGACGACACTGTTTCCAATCTATTTTAGATGGAGGACGATATTTTGGTCCTTTTTTAAGAATAGTTATGACCTCACGGTCTTCGACGATGTATGTTTGGAGTATTTTATCCATTGGTTTTCCCATGGCTAAACAGTCTCCTATACACAACAACAAAAAAGACAACACGAGTCACAACTGCATCATATTTTAGAAGAATGTATCAATCGAGATATTAGGAATATGTCAATGAAAAATGATTATTAAATTGCTCCAACTTACACTTCGTCATCCTTGATATTGTCTTTTTATTCCTTTGAAATGAATTTGATCGGATATATATATATATATATATATATATAATAAATATACATTGTCTCGCAAAACTATCTGCACATGGCTTAGAAACAAATAGAATGCATGACTGTGCCGACCATTTATATCCTGTTTCGAGCCGAGTACAGATAAAATTTATGTTTCGAGACAGTTAATGATTCTCTTTATACCTCAATGTATTCAACTGTTGAACATAAAATATTTTCGGTAAACACCATCAATGCAATTTGACTGCGGAAACAACACAGTTGCAGTATAAATCAATTTTCATTGCTTTCGATTTGTGTCAGTTGTTATATGGTATAGTGTCTTCGATGTCAATTTTCATCTTTCCCTATTGACAACATAACATAAACTCCTTATCTTCTACCGGATTTATTTCATTAGAAACATGTTGCCTTATAATATGATGTATATATCATTCATTAAGACAACATATGACTTCGGATATGATCAACTCGCCTTAGCCACAATCCCCTCCTTTTTCCTCCATGACCGCCTTGGTGGTCTTGTGTTTGCGTGTTCGCTTTGAGTACGGTAGGTCTTGGGTTCGAGCCAAAGACTTTAAAATTGGTATGTGCGGCTTCTCCGCTAAACACACGGCATTAGATATAAGGAGTAAATACATAGACTGGTCGGCTCGGATTCGGAATAATGTGTCCGGGTAGTCTTGTATGTCCTCCTGTGGATTGTTATCTTGTGAACTAGCAGGTTAAGCGTGTTGGTCTAGTACAAAGCAGGGTTTATACTATTATTACATTAACATGTTCTCGTCCTAAATATGCATTAAATTAGCCGCTGGAGGGTTAATTGCCATCCATCATCACCATCTTTCCTCCATTGTTATGTCACCGAGAACGATTTCTCACAGTACTGTAACTTGTTATGTGTAACTCAACGGGTGTCACTCAAATAGCAGAAATCGCTAACCCAATACGGAGCACCTGAGATCAATCACTAATATTTATCCGGATTCCTGTTGGTGAGTCTTTAGTTTTTGAGCTGTTGTTTATTCTCTTCACCTTATCCTCTTTACGATGGCAACCCTCGATTTAGGGTAATTGTTTGCGAGTTTTGTACATTTTGTCATGTTATTATTCTATATTTGGTGTGTTATCATGATGTAGTGTCTTAATCCCATAAATAAATTCTCAATAAAATGTTTATAACTGACAAAATCTGGTTAGACTACCAGAGAAATGTCTGTATATACAAACACACATTACAATATGAGTTAATGCAAATATTTGATACCCAGTATCAACTAATCAAAGATACCAGGTTTAAAATCTAGTTGTTACTAAATTTATCAGACGTCTTTTTATAACTCTTGGGAGTGTCGGACAACGACATACGTATAACATGGAAATTGTCGATCCGGGTTTACGATGGCAAGTTGCTCTCTCGAAATGGTAAGACATTTACTTTCAAGTAAAGGAATTTTCCATCATTCGATTCCTTATACATTTTCTCCACCAATATGTGACTTTTATACACGTACTTATCCCCTAAAGCACAAAAGAAACCTTTATTTCAAGCCATCCATCATTTACAGCACCATCCGTCTACACCCAACAAGGTATTGCGATCTTGTAACATAATCTCAATTATATGTAGCTGAATGGAGCTACAAATAATTTCTAAATTTAGATTTAACTGATTAAAACAATTTTCTCAACATACCAAAGAAATTGCTGTGGTCGTACTTATTCAAATTATTTGTTGAAAATTCTCAAGTATTTACTGTTTAATTGGAATAAAAAAAGAAAAACAATTACAATACATGCCTTTTAAAATATTTTAGTGA